TGATTATCATTATATGTGGTCAACTTGCAGACTTGTTGGTTGCTCATGTTCTTGTGCGAGTTTTGTGGGGTCAAAAGGGAAGAGACTATGGTGATGTTTTCTTTTGAGCTGCTTTTACAATTAGGCAAGAACAAAACAGAGAGTTATCTAGAACTCAAATAAGTGAATAAAGGAGGAAGAAGGACTATGCGTGTTCCTTGGAAGTATGGAAGTTGTTAGGTTGCGGTGGCTTCTTTTAATGGTTACTCAAGTGTGCAGATTTGACTTGCAACACAAGGAAGACAAAAGCACTTGTGAAGCAAGACTCCTAGTCTCAGTCCAGAAATCCAGACCATGTTGCTTAAGTTGGAGGACAAGGTTAATTCTCATAGAAGATTGCTTATGTGCAATCAAATGCCCAATCTATGGTGGTGCCTTGCATGTTCAGTTGATCCAATTGGACTGATTGAAGCAACCATTAAAAAGGGATCTTATATACAAGCTCTTTTAGTGCCAATTGTTTCTGGAAAATTTTGAAGTTTCAAAAGGGAAACTAATTGAGAAAAAGGGTCAAGATATTCTAGATTGGTAGGATCTCAAATTACCTTCTTTCTCTTATTAGGCCTAGCGTCATAATCTTGTTCCCTCTAAGTCTAAGCTTTCTGCAGATGAGAAACAAAAATGGTTTAAAGGTTCAGGGTCATTTTGTAAGGAGACTAGGCCTGAAGATTCAGTTAAGCCCAACACATCATATAGAAATGGGACTAGTATTAGTGAAGGGGTCAAATTACAAAAGGTGCCTTCTACTTCTTTGCTATTGATGATGAAGTGCTCAAGCAGATACGAAACTACTTTAAAATTGTTGATTCTTGTAGATGCTGCTCCTTATCGAGTTTTTATAATTAGGAAGGTGTGTTCTCCAAGTTAGGGATATTGCGATGGCCTAGCTCTACTTTTATCTCTAAATACTACTAAGCTTAGAAAGGAGAGATTCTAGCGAGAAGACAAAAGCCGCCAAGGGGAACAATTTATGCCCATTACATGAGGAGATCTTTAGAGAGGAGCAACATAGATTTTGAAGGCAAGTCCCTACTGACTTCATCCCTTTGTGGATGGAAAATAGACCAGTTTAGGTTGGACATTGAGGAATTGAAAAAGTTCAGCAAGTTATTTAGTTCATTTGATGGTTTTAAGGTCCAAACAATGGACAAAGTCATTAAGAAGCAAGCTAAAGATAAAACGGTATGGGGAGTTGTCTTCTTCTAAGCCTATGGAGGCATATTTGACTGAAGTAGGGAAATTTTGGAGGCTAGCACATTGTGTTAACAATGAGAAGGTGGTTGGAGGCTTAAAGAGTGACATGGTTGGACAGCAAGGAGGAATAATTGTTGCCAACTTTAAGTAGAATTTATCTTGTAAAATGAGGTGTCTTAATGATTCCAACACAAGGGAGGTCATCAAGGGGGTCTTAGGAAATGGGATGGTGATCTTATTTGGCTCCAAGAGATGATGGATGAGATGATTATTGATAGCATTATTGGAACTTTTACAAGCACAAACAATTTGAGGTGGTTCAATCTCTTGATATTGGGGGTCCTTGGGTGACATTTTGATTATGTAGGATGAATAAGTTTTTAATCTTATTGATAATTCCAAAGGGTAGTTCCTACGTATTATAAATAAAAAGATTGGCGGACTTCTCAAGCTACTTGGATGTTTATTGGCATCCATGGCAAACAAGTGGACTATGATAGAGAAATGATGTCGGAGGACTTGAAACATGTAAAGTAGGGATTGGAGGATCAATGAGTAACTGGTGAGATTTTAGGATGATCCTTCGAGCAATGATCGTTTTAATGGCTTTGTGTTTGCTTTTTGCGGTGGTGGAGTTTAATGTTCAGAAACTTAGATTTGATGGACCCTCCTCTCAAAGGGGGAGGTGGACCTGGTCTATCATGAGATTTGGCCGTACAAATTCTCAACTCGATAGATTCTTGATATCCACTTCCTTTGAAGAGCACAAGCTAGGAATTGTTTCTTCCTCGGATTTCCGGTTATTTCCCATTAGTTTGTATGATGGTGGTGTCAAATGTGCCCTTGTCTCTTTTGTTCTGGGAAATGTGGCTCAAGGTTGAAGATTTTGACTCCTAGTGCAAGCTTGGTGGCGTGAGGAGGAGGGCTTTGCTAATTTTGAATTGACCAAGAAATTGCAATGTCTGATATTCAAAATCAATCAATGGAGCAAAGATCACTTCGAAAAATTTGAGGCTCAAAGGGCTTTATTGATGAATGATATTGATTCTGTAGACAAGAAGGACATTGATATTGGTTTTAACATAAAGAGAAGAGTAGTTTGGATAAGGTGGAGCTCTCGAACTTGTTGATCTTGGAAGAGATTTCTTGGAAGCAAGAAATATAGATAAATTAATTGAAAGGGATATCAAAAAGAGGTACTTTTATAGGTTTGCTTCTTTTCATAAAAGAGCTAACTTTGTTTCCTTTTTTTATTTGAAATAAAGCTATCTTTTTGTTTTGAAATAAAGCTAATTTTGTTTTGTAGTGTGTCTGTTGATGACCAAGTATATTCGATTAGGAATGGCTTAAAAGAAGTTAAGAATCATATCATTGATCTTCTGAAGCTTCTATTTGGCTTTCTGCACTAGAAGGTTGTAGTTTTTTTGTAATCTCATAGGATGATAGGAGTTGGTAGAAAGGGATTTTGATGATGTTGAAGTATTCTATGCTTTATGCAAGTGCATTGGTGACTGGTTTTTAGGTCCAGATTAATTTCTCAGCAGCTTTTCTCCAAAAATATTTGAAAGCTGGTCATGGAATATACTGCTGTGGTAAATTTGTAACTTGCCTCAATGCTACTTTCTTAGCCCTGATCCCCAACATTCAGGACAGTAGTGATGTATAACAATGCAAACCAATCAACCTAGTTGATTGTGTCATGCATTTATGTCTTGTCCATTGACTTAGCAAGGTGGTTGACAACATTTTCAGTGAATCTCAGGCAATGGTTGTCAATGTTAGCTAAGTTCTTGCCCTTTGCGATCTTTGAAGATGTCCTTATTATCAGTGAAATGGTCGACATTGTGAAGAAATAGGGAAGACAAGGGTTTTATGCAAGTTGGATGTGGAGAAGGCCTAGGATCGTTTTACATCAACATTTCATGGTTCTATCTTCTCTAGCGGGTTGTTTTTGGGAGTGAATGTTGTAAGTGGATCTAATGGTGCATTTGTATTGCCTCGTTTTTTGTTACCATTAATGGAGATCCTACTAGTTTCTTCAGATCTTCTATGTGGCCGAGACAAGGGGATCCTTTCTCCTTTTTTTCTTACCTTATTACCCTTATCATGGAAGCTCTTACAATACAGTCACTTGTGCTAAAGGGGTTAATATATTTAAAGGTCTCTCAATGGAGGAAGGTGATTATAAACAATGTCTTTGGCACCTCCTTTTTGTGAACGGTTCATTCCTTTTCTACAAGCCTAGATCCTCATTTGTATGTCAAATTATGTTTTCAAGCAATGTTCGGCCTGGGGATTAACCTTGATAAATTAGTTATGTTCCTATTGGTAAGCACACCACGTGAGCAACTATGCTAAAATCTTAGGTTGTGGCTAACTGTGCCACCTAAGTGGCTGGTACAAGCCACCCTCTTGATTCCTCTTATTGTTTAAAAATAGAAGGTTAGACAAAAATAACAAGAGAATGAATGACGAAGAGAAGTACATGAAAAATAAAAGGGTTTTACAACTCAAAATGTAGTCCTTAGGTGTAGTTTGCTTCTTGAAGTTCTTGGAGGTGTTGTCTAGTTCTAGAGCCTAGGATAATCCAATTCTTCTGAACTTCTAAAGATCACAAATAGGTGAGTGCTCTTTTTCCCCATATTATGATGTGTCCTAGAATCTTTGGACTAGTCCTTTTTGTTAATTACAGGATTCATGTGGGTGTGGCTTGGAATCTTTGGACTAAGATTCTTTGGAAAGGTGTTTCTTTTTTTTCTTTTTTTGCTGGGTAAGGAGCTTTGTGGTTGAAGTGTAATGCCAGAATCTTCAAGGACCTCTACTTTTAGGCAGATTGATTTTTTCTTGGCTTCTTTGTGGGCCAAGCTCATGGGTGTTAAATAGAGATGTCTCTATGACCTTGTTACAAAGGGCAGGATGCAGGTCTATATTGACTTCTTATGCTTTGTTCATTTTTTCCTCCTTCC